TTGATCTCAGTGCCCGCGGGCAGGTGGAGAGAAGCTTGGCGGGGATCCCTCCGCCTCCGCGGTCAGGCAGCCTCTCTGCGCAGGTGCGGAGAGAAAGGCATTCCAGGCAGCGGGAGCAGAGGGCAAAGGCCCCTGGTCTGGAATGGATGTGCGCTGACAAAGAGCAGGGGGTCAGCGTGGCAGGAGAAGAGTGAGCAGGGAGGGTGGCAGTAAGAGCCGAGGTCAAAAGGGAGGCAGGGTCCGCCCCACGGGGCCTTGCTGGCCAAGGTAGGGAGCCGGGGCTTCCCAAGTCTGGGGCATGACTTGCCCCCTGGGGTTGCTGGGCAGAGAATGGACTGGAGGCGAGGGGGCCAGAGTAGGAGCGGTGAGGAGGGTGGACTAGGTTGAATAGTGGCCTCCGAAAAGGTATGTCCACATCCTACCCCTGGCACCTATGAATGTGACTTTGTTTGGGGGAAAAAAAAAGTCTATGCTGATGCAGTTAACTTAAGGATCTCAAGATGAATTCATGCTGGACTATCTGTTGGGCCCTAAATCCACTGACAAGTGTCCTTATAAGGACAGAGGAGAAGCCTTGTGAAGGTGGAGACAGAGCTTAGGTGGCTGCAACCACAGGCCAAGGGATGCGTGAAGCCATCGGAACCTGGAAGGGGCAGGAAGGATCCTCCCCAAGGGCCCTAGGAAGGTGGAATGGCCCGACGACACCTTGATTTTGGACTTCTGGCCTCCATGACAAATTGAGACAAATATCTCTGGTTGCCAGCCCCCACTGTGTGGCAATGTATTACGGCAGCCTCAAAAAACTAATGCAGAGGAGGTGTTGTCTGAAAACGGGGCTTCTGAAGACAAGAGCCACAAACATCTCTTTACTTTGAAATCCTCTCCCACTTGCTAAAATAAAGAGGAGATTTATATGTCTGGGGGTGGGGGAGACACTGAGCCCTGCTGAATATTTTAGGCATCCATTTCACTCCATAACTGACGCAGAACCAAATACTCCCCCTCAGCCTTCGGCTGGAGCTCTGAATGCTCCGCACGGCTGCCGATGCTTGAACTGCGCATCTCCAGGGCGGGGCGGGCTATGGGCCTGGCGAGGCGGACACACACCCTAGTGCTGGACCACCATCCTCACCGATCCCAGCTGTGTGACCCCGGGCCTGTGACTTTACCTCTCTGTGCTTCAGATTTCTCCTCCATTCAACATGGGCCTACACCCCGCTTCCCTCAGGGGCAGCTGCGCAGGTTCAATGAGACCAGTTCCTGGCAAGCAGAAGGTACTCAATGTGCAGGACCCCTTTCTTCTTCTCCCAACTCAGGCCAGCAGGAAGAATAGTCTGGTACAGTCATTGCTATAATCCCCCCCACCAAATTACACACAGCAGTGGTTTTCAACTGGGTATAGGGAGGGGTGGATGTGGTAGGGGGCAGACAGGAAGTGATTTGCCCCCAGCAGACTCTTGGCAACGTTTGGAGACGTTGCTGGTGGTCACTTGGAGGTGCTACTGGCATCTGGTGGGGAGGCCAGGGATGATCCTACAACACATGGAACGTCTCCCTCACCCACAAAGAATTGTCTGACCCAAGTATCAATAGTGGTGAGGTTGAGAAACTCCGACGGACGGCAACAGTTTGATGTTACAGGCAAGCTCTTGATATTTTCCTTTTATATTTGTATTTATATTACATATTTATGTGTGGACATGTTTTCCGATCTGCCCCCCTAAAAGGCAGCTCTGCAAAAGCAGGGATGGTGTCTGTTTTGTTCACAGCCACTCCCCCAGCCCCAGCCCCTGGTGGGCGCTCGATAAATACCGGTGGGGCAAGAAGGTGAGTGAACGGGCGACGGTATTCAAGTCACACACGCCTCGTGCTTAGTGCAGGGCCTGGCACCCGGCAAAAACCCATGAGAGCTCGCTAGGTTCCTACCCTCTTAGCTGATGCTCAGACTGGTCTGGCTCCCCAGGCAGGTGGGAGTCACCCAGAACCTGCACCCCATCCCCCAACCCTAAAAGGGAGGTGAAATAAATGCACATTTGCTAAGCACGTCCTGTATATCAGGTGTTTAACAGATGCCAGGGCTGTGCTGGTTCCTTCTTACTCCAACCCACTGGCCCACCCACCAGACAAGTCCCAGGTGAAGCCCCATTTTACAGACAAGGACACCGAGGTGGGAACAGGTGATTTAACTTGCCCAGGGTCCCTTGGGAGCACCCGGTGCAGCTGAGACTCGAGCCCAGGCCTGTCCTATTCCAAAGCCATCTTTGCAGAACGACCCTAGGCCCTGGAAACCCCCACTTCCCACTGTTATTCCAGCATTAGCCTCCTGTGGCACTGCCGTTGCTCCTGGGTTCTGGAATGTTCTGTCTGGCCTCTCGGTGGGGCCCGCCTAGTCTGCTGGGCCTCACACAACGTGCCTCTTCCTGCCTTTGTGGCTCAGAAACAATGAGTTTGATTTCCTTCATTCCCCCTTTTCTTTCTCAGAGGCACAGGCAGGCCATTAGCAAATTACTTCAAGGCTGGCTTTAGAAAACATCTCAGGGCACGCCTCTGAGGGTTACTATAAGCCCGCTGCAGATTCTTCTACAGGCTCTGAGTAAACACTAGCCTCAGGCAGGATTTGGAGCTGAACAGATTATTTAGATAAATCATGTACCAGTCCGAGCCTCCAGACGGGGGGGCCCTGCCCCTCTAAGCGCCAGCTCGCGAGTTGCCGCCTTCCCTAAACTCTTCAGTAATTGTCTGTGGCTTTCAAAACGACCTCCCATAAAACAAATATTTAAGTGAAATCCCCAGGTAAAAGGGGTTTGTGTGGATTTTTCAGTTCAATGGGAATCTCTGAAAAAGTGGTTTGGGAGAAAAGGTTTGGTTGTCACAGTCGGTGACTTTTAAGGTACTCGTGCCACAGGGCATCGCACGGTTACAGGCGCATCACTGCCCGAAAATAATAATAATGGGAAGTGTGACCGTGAAAGGATGATAGTCCCCATTTCACAGATGAGCAAACTGAGGCACAGAGACGGGAGGAGTCCACCCAAGGTCGCACAGCGGGGAGGTGGCAGAGCCAGGATTTGAACCTGTTCCCATCCCAACTCTGCTCTCATTCCACCGAGTCCGAACGGCGTGGCACCCAGCAGAGAGGCACTTATGCACACACTGCGTGTTCGGCTCCATGAGGGATGTTCACGCCAACCTCATGACCCCGAGGTCTGCCCATTTGACAGAGGAGAAAACCGAGGCTTGCGAACGGGTCAAGTGTGCTCAGCACCAGGGTGGCGGAGTCTGATTTGAGTTCTCCACCTGTACCAGCTGGTGCCCACCGCTCAGGGATGCCACGTGCTCAACGGGCAGGAACCCGACGCCCAGGATCATTGTGCGCACATTCACTTTGTTAGAGGCGCTGCAAAAACCGTGAACGGCGGCAGTGGCGGCTCGCAGGGCACTAACTCCGCGCTTTCACCTAGCGGAACCCCCACGTTACACAGGCAGGGGGGCCAAGGCCTGGGGCCACAGAGCTCCCAGGGTGGGGGGGGGGGCTGCATGTTGCCACCCCCACACCCTTCACTGCACTGCCGGAGAGGGACCAAGAGCGAAAGAGACAGAGAGACGCACACAGAGACAGAGGGACAGAAAGAAGAAATAAGAGGTCTCCCCCCTACCTTCCAGAGGCTGAAGTCAGGCATCTGTCTCATAAACTCAGGCCCCACTGATCTGTCCAGGGCCACAAAGCAGCACAGATCCAGGAGAGACGATATCATATGCATGAGGCACCTGTTTACGCCGGACTGCTCTGGCTGCTGCGTGGCCCCCGCAACAGTCACTGCACCTCTCTGGGCCAGCCAAGGGAACACCAGGTCAGTCCCTGCACCTTGAGGGCAGCTGTGAGCGTTGGCGATGCCAACGGTGCTGGTGGTCGGCTTGAAACCTGTTGCACCCCAGGACTCCATCCCTCAATGCTGGGTGCCTATCGACCTTTGGGACTCACTGCAGGGCTGGACCCAGGGAAGGAGCATGCCCAGCCCCTCGCCCGTCTTCAGCCTCCTGAGAACTGGGCCAACAGAGTCAGCTGTGGAAACGCCGGCCCCTCTCTTCAAGTTCAGTCCTGGTTGCTAACGTGGGCTGCCCTGAAGTGTGAAGTTTTCAGGAAGTCCTGGAGAAAACCTTTCGCCAGAGACAGCCCCGGGGTGGGGGTCAGAGCCTGGGACTCTAGCCCTAACTTTGCCTCTCACTTCCTGTGCTACCTGAGGCGGTGCCTTTCCGCCTCTGGGCCCACCTCTCCAAAGGTCCTTGAGACTGAGCCCACACCATCCCCTAGCAAGACACAGGGCAAGTTTTTAGTCATTAGCTGTCATTCCTGCCTGTCTGCCAAGCTCCATCAGGCCTGTCTGAGTGAGAGATGATGACACCCCAGGACCCAGCCAGAGGCCCCATCCCGGCCCACTCACACCAAGCCCCTGGTTCACTGGCCAGTGGGCAAACCCACCCACCGACCCCCTCGAGTCTCGTTAGGTAATCAGAGGCGACCTGGAGACTTTGCTCCATGACAAGACAACAAAAGCCACAACTCAACATGCATACGACAGGGACACTCAGTCATCCTGGGAGGGTGAGAGGAAACAAAGCAGGTGTCAACTAATCCTGCCTAAAAATAGGGGAGGACAAGCATTTCTGTCAGGGGCCAGGCTGCCGGCGCTTGCAGACAAATCGACTGGCTAAGCCAGCCCGACCGCCGTGCCGGCCCGTCCACACAGACGCGGTCCAGCCTAACTTCCCGACCACTGCGGGGCAGAGAGAAACCCCCCTGTCGGGGGGTGGCCACCCCATGACTCTTTCCCAGGCGCGGGGAGCAGGAAACTGGGGCCTGACGGATGACTGCTCTGGAAGAGGCTACTTCCCTGGCTAGGTCTGCGGGACCCCTCCCCACCACTGGAGGAATGTGGGAGGGGAGGAGTTTGACTGCTGTTTTAATATTTAAAAAAAAAACAAACAACACACAAGCTTACAAAGTCTGGTGGCTCCGAATCCGGGTGCCTTTTCCTTAGGGAAGAAAACCTCTGCTGGCTGCGAGCGGAGAAGCGGCGGAGAGACTCTCGGCTCCGGGAGGCGAGGTGTCGGAAGGACGAGGTGCGCTTGAAGGGGGTCCGGCTGGGGGGCTCCCCACCGGCCCGCTCATGGCTCACTGTGGTGGTCACTAAGTTGAGAGCATCCTGGAAGGACCTCCTCACGGTGCCCATCCACTGGGTCATGTGGGTTTGGGCCACGGTGAGTTTGTCCCCCAAGTAATCCATGGGGCCGGGGGGCGAGAGGAAGAGCAATCAGAATGCCAGGGTCCCCCTCTTCCTCTTTGCCGCTCCTGGAAGTTTGGGGCTTGCGTGGAGAGAAAAGCCAGCAGCCCCCTTCAGCCAAAGCAAGAGTGAATCAACATCACCCAGCTAGAAGCCGGCTGGCTGCATCCACGGGTCTCGCTCCGAAGAGAGTTCAGGGTCGGGCTGGGAGCCCACTGGCCAGCGTTGGAAAGTCAACACGCTGGGAGGTCCAATATCCAGTCCCTGGCGATCACCTCACCGAATTGGCTGTGGCCAGGAGCTTAAAGGAACCAGCGGCACTGGCTCCAGGGCGTGACAGTCCCTCGAGGTGGGGGGAGGAAGAGACGGTGGCCCTGGGCACCCTCGTCCTCACTTTCCCCCAGGTAAGGGGCCCCTCCCAGGAGCACACTGGAAGGACCCGGTGGGCAGGCTACTAGCTGCCGCGGCCCCCTGCCCAGCTGCCCACAGCTGGGCCCCGCTCACCTGACCCATGCAGGTTTTGTTCGCTGGCCAGAAATTCCAAACCTGTCGGCCGGCAGGCAGCTAGCTCATTTCCGGAGGCAGCCACCAGGGCCCCCGGGTCCCCTGGCTGAGCAGCCCGGGATGACATCAGTCCCTGTCTTAGCGAGGGGCTTCGCTGCCCAGGAATGCAGGAGGGGCCTCAGGGAAGCAGACGCCCAGGGAGCTGACGTCCGCCCCCATTTTCTTCCCCCAAGTCTCAACTCGCTCACCGTCCCGCGGGGCTGACGGTGACTTCACGTGCCAGGCTGCCTACCCGCCCTGTGCCCTCACTGCAGGCGCGGGGGAGACGCCGCTGCACGCGGCACACGCGGGTGCATGTGTGCCCGTGTGTCTGAGACGGGGCAGCCCTGGGAGGTTGGAACAGTTGAGAAGCTGCCTCCAGGGTGACAGGCTAGCTTCTCGGGACCTATGGCCGGCTGTCAGTCTGTCTCCCTCTGGCGGTCTGTTTCTCTATCAGGTTCTCTCCTCCCTCTCCCTGTGTCTCAGTTTCCATCTCTCTCTCTCTCTCTCTCTCTCTCTCTCTCTCTCTCTCTTTCTCTCTCTCCTTCCGGCCTTTTCTCCCTGCCTCCCTGGAAGGCAAGAGAGAGCCAGGTGAAACAGCCCTGGAGGTCCCCCAAGGAAGGAACTGGGCTGGGCCGTATTTCAGTACAGGCGGGGTTGCCATGGCAACCCCGGGGCACAGCATCTGCCCCATCCTGGGCCGGCAGGCTCTTAGCACAGGGAGCAATGGGAATGATTCATGGTTTACACTGGGTCACATGAGCTCCTGGGTTTTAACCCTTACGGAGCTGGAGTAGTTGGAATGGGGACTGGGGGGACAGGACAGCAGCACCGGAAACCCAAGCGGGTTGTCGGGCAGGGTCAGCAGCCGCTGGGTCCCAGAGGGGAGGCACATTTGCTGCTTCCTCAGGAGAACCCCATGTTACAGATGAGAAAATGCGGACTCGGAGGCCCGCACCCAAGGTCGCAGAGCAGGGGTGCTGCCAGGGCATGGACAGAGGGGGTTCCCTCCCCGCTGTGCTCCGGATCCCAGAGGGCACCTGGGCCGGAGTTGCAGCTCAGTAAATATTTACTGTTCAGACACCCAGTCCAACGCTGAAACGTTGACCCGTCTGACTGTTCCCGAGTGCCCCCCCGACCTGCGTCACCTCGGCCTTGAGCAAATGTTTGTTCCCTAGACACTGATCCAGGGGCCTTGCTCGAGAGAGGTTTTCACAAAGGCATCGGATGACACGGTCTCTTCCTTCTCTAGACTCCTCGTCCTACGGCCGTTCAGTCATTCTTTCACTCACGCACGCATCTCAGTCAGGGCTGCCTGCTCGGGGCCGTGCACAGGCACAGAGCCTAGGAAAGGTCCCTGCCGTCAGGGCTCACAGGCCAGCAGGACACTCCAGCGCTGGCCAGAATTTACTGGAGTGAGTCCCTGATGTCATCCCAAGTGCTCCCAGGAATTAACTCATGAATCCTCACGTGAACCCATTGGACAGAGGGAGACACTGAGGCCCAGAAAGTCAAAGTCATCTACCAAGGTCATGCAATGTGGCGGGCAGCCTCCAAGACGCTCCCAGGGATCCCTGTCCCGTGGTTCATACCCCGGCATGGTCCCCAGCTACCGCAGGGTTAGCCTTTGTGCCACCTGGCTCTAAAAAAGAAGGAGGCAGAAGTGACCACATGCGACGTCTATGGCTAGGCCATGGAGGGTGCCACGGCCTCCACCTGGCTCTCTGAGATCCCGCTGGGGACAGCCAGATACTGTGTGTTAAACAGCCCTGAGGACAGACCCACATGGGCCGAGTCGGAGGCCCCGTGAGGGGACCGCTGCGGAAGTGACCCATATCCCAGCTCGCTCCCTCCGACAACAGTGGGGGCCCTGGCAGACAGCTTAACAGCAGCTCCTGAGAGCTGCTCCCAGACCCCTGAGCCACAGAAATCACAAGGGACACAAATGCCCAGGGGCAGGGCAGTGCCTGGCCCGTTGGACACCAAGGGCTGCAGCAGAATCAGGGAGGGCGGGGAGGGCAGCCGGCAGGCCCTGCCTGTTAGGAAGCATCGCTCAACACACAGACGCAGACCAGGAAGCTTGGGCGGGCCCCACCCACCACTTGCACAGCCTCCAGGGACAGGCCTCCTGGACCCCAAGGCCTTTCACTGTCCTCACACGGCATGTACACAGTCAGCCTCCTGCGGCAGGCAGGTGACGTCTCAGCCCTGCTCCCTTGCCCTGTGGGACAGGAACTTCCAGAGGAGAAAGAGCCGAGTCCTGCCCGCACAGAAATAACTGAAGAGCTGGAAAGGATCATAGCTTTTGAACAGATAACCTGGACACAGAGGTGGGTCAATCTACTGGACACCCTCAGAAGGAAGAACATTAAATCAACTCCGTACGTGAAATACATTTAAAGTGATAATACCTGGTGCTGGCCAGGCTGTGGGCAAAGAGACACACACAGGGCCCAGCAGAAGTAACGCTGTTGAGTGTGGTTGGTGGGGTCTGTGACTGCCTCACATGAGGACAGCAATGTGAACATTTCACCTAAAGTGTCATATGGCGTGCTTGAGTGTGATATTGTTATGTTACAGAATTACATGCCTATGATTTTGTATTAAAAGGTTTGGTATAGATTACCAGCTCATAAAAGAGGGGCATTATTTGTGCTGGACCCTGTATGTCCGGAGCAGGTGGAAATGGAAATCAGTATATGTTTCCTGAAGGGAATTTAGCACCCCATATCCAAAGTCTAAAAAATAGTGGCCTGTCAGTTAATGACCTACAGGCTGAACTGTACTGATATCTGTAACTTACTTTGAAATGCAGGAAAAAAAGAAAAAAGGAAGATAAACTGAGGAATGGCTGGTTGGCTAGATTTTTATAAATAAAATACAGCAAAGTTAGTCATTGTAGTATGTAGCCGGTAGGTATATGTGTGTTCTCTGTACAATTTTTCTGTATTTTGAAAATTTTCATAATAAAGAGCTGGGGGTAGGAGGATGTGCCTGCCTTTTGGCCCTGAAGTTTATGATCCAGTTCCATATCCTGTAATCTGCCTGTGGAAATGAGAATGATCTATACAGACATTTTGCTGCAAGGACATTCATCACACTTGTGTGTGTGTGTGTGTGTGTGTGTATACATACATATTTCTGAAAAATTAGTCAGAGCCTGATTGTCCGACAAAAAGAGACTTGCTCAGCACAGCACTGAGCCATAATGACATCAGAGACAAAGGGGGAAAAAAATCAGTCACATCAATCCTGTCTTTATTTATAATGTTGACAGTTTGTTCATCATGGATTTTGGCATTAATTTTGATTTTTTTAAAAACATATTGCATTATAATATTATTTACCTTGATTACTGACTTTTGTTTGGTGCTCCTGTACATTTGCATCCTAGGTGAATGCCTCAGTCACCTCATCTTAGTCCCAGCCCTGGATTTGCTAAATCAATACAGCCTCATGATTCAGAGGTTGGAGACCTGCCCCTAGCTCTTATTATAGCTGTGTGACCCTGGGTGAGTCACTTAACCTCTCTGATTTTCAGAGATGAAATCATCCACCTCATCGCTGTCCTTGATGCTGTCAGCGGCACTTATGGTCTGCGAGGCACTGTTATTACATCCGCATTCCATCCCTGCTCCCCTCAGTGCTGAAGGGAAGTTTGTGCTGTGATTATTACCCCTCTTTTACAAATCAGAAAACTGAGGAAACTCGGTGACCAGTCCAAGGCACACAGCTATTAAGTGGCGCAGTTTGCTACCCTCAGCCTCGCGCCTTTGGCCAGATCCGAGGGTGTTGTGGCCCTCGCCAAATCAGGTGGGGGGAAGACAAGAGTGTGCAAAAGCAGAGAAGACCTCGTGGTGGGCAGCATCACACAGCTCTGCCTCCTTCCACACGCGGGGAGAGGGGTGCAGGAGGGAACTGGAAAGCCAGATTGCCGGCTTGTTCCCTCCAGCTTCCCTTTAGGTACAATGTGCTCTGACAGTGACTATAAAAAGCGTCCCTCTCTGAAAACTGGGGCAGTGCAAGCACTCTCCCCTCCAGAGGACTTTTTCTGCAAACTCTTCTGTTCTCTCCAGGAAACTCTTGGGATGTTGCTGGGCATCAAAAAGGAAAGAAAGCCATCTCCTTACATAATTAATCCAAAAAATGCTGGAGGAGCTGCTGAGGTCCAGGAAACAAACGGGAACTTGATCCACAATGTGAGGTGGGGCCCAGAGAGCACCATTTCCAGGCAAGTGTGTGCAGTTACAAGAATTAGAACGTTGGTCACTCATTCATTCAACAAGCATTCCCTGAGTGTTGCTTTGTGCGAGCCCTGTGCTGGCCCTGAGGGGATGCGTAGGCCCTGAAGAGCTCAGAGTGGCTCTCTGATCCTCAGCCATTAAGTAGGAAGCGTGTCCCGGTGGGCCACCTCAAACCTGGGGCTACCAGTTTCTCCAAAATATCTGACAAAAACAAACATGCTCCAGAGAATTCCTGGTCAAATGGAAGAAAGAGCCAGAAAAGAGTGAACGATTGTCATACGTGTGCCAAGGGCTGTGATGGACGAGTAACATGCTATGGGTACGTAAGAGGGGGAGGTGAAACCCAGCCAAGAAAGTGGGAAGTTGAGGAAAGAAGAGCAAAGGGAAGATGATCATTTATTGAGGATCTGCAATTGGAAGAGGACTATCTGGGTGGGGTTTTGCAGGATGGTTAGGAGCTCTCCAAGAAGGCTGACTGAGAACAGCACATGCAAAGGCCAGGGGACAGGGCCATATTCTGCCTTGCCTCTGGGCTTCTGCACATGCTGTATCCCTGCCTGAGGCTGCCTTTCCCTATCTTCTCATCTCTACTGGACCTCCCCCACCCCCAAACAGCCTTCAAAACAGCAACTTTTCTAAATCCCACTCATTTCAACCTCTTCACATCCCGCTTCCTCTAATATTCGACATTTCAGGACTATACATCCTGGGCCTAGAAATATACTAACATTGTATTAGGAGGAAGGCTGGTACAGTATAAATAATAACAACCCTTAACTGAGGGTTAACTGTGTGCCAGGAACTGCCCTGATTCTTCATGCCCACAGAGGCTCGCTTCTGGGCTCCCACTCTGCCACGTTGCCCCCACCGCATCACGGGCTGAGCCTTGATTCACCCATCAGCCTCCCCACTGGACTCCGGGCCCTTGGGTGGCAGGAATGTGCTCTACCCGCCCCTGATTCTCAGCATGCGGCGTGCCTACTGGGTAAAATGAAGGAACCACTGAGGCTTGAACCTGAGTCCCACAACTCCCTACATTCCTCTCCCTAGACTTGTTTCCAAGGCAACGGGGGAAGGAATTCTGATATGGAAAAAAATACCAAAAAAATACCACCCCCAGAAATGACTCGCTCTTCCAAGTCCATTCCAGATTATTTATAAACCAAGCCCAAGACTATTTCCTTGTGTACATTTATCACATTCTTATTCAAATAGTTACTTTACTGGCCTAAGATGCCCTTAATTAACCCTCAGAGGGGAGGAAAAGAGTAATCTGGGCAGGAAATCTTTCTAAAAACAGCCAGGAACTCATCTCCCTTCTTCACCAGGCCACATTGTGAGCTCGAGTGGGAAGTGGCATTTCCCACACTGGGACAGCTGGCTGCTCGGTCCGCTGGCATGGCAAGGCCAGCCTGTAGCGACAGCCCCTCTGCAGGGAGCCGGGCACCTAATAAAGCTGAGGACTGGCCGCCTCTCGCGTGGAAGCAGGTGGGGCTGGGGGCACCGCCTCGTTCTTCCCACGGGGCTGTCCCCTGGCTTTGGGGCCAGTGGGCCCCGGGGTGCTGCCACCTTC